ATATATGACATATGATTTACTATGTCCCATAACTTGATTTTCAAGGCAAAGATCCCATATACTAGATAGCAATGGGTATAAGTTTAAACTAGATCGTGAAACATAAATCAAGGAGCGTTTTTAATTGCATTAACGTTTTACGGTATATGAATCTATCAACTTTGGCCAATCTTCCGCTTTAACCTAAATCTTTTCTTATTGCATTAAGCAAATTTGAAATAAAGATTTATCATTTTACCAAATAAAGAATTAGCCATGCAAAAATATTTATTTAAGGGTTCTTAACGACAAAGGAATTCTTGGAATTATTTCTGAAATATGGAATCGAAATCCGAATTAATTACACTTCCAAATGGAAAAACTGTTAAAGGTATTATACCATGATTGAAAATTTTCGATTGAAAAATACCTAAATTTGGAGGATGGATTGGTTTGATGCATGTAACTTAGTGTTAACCATGTAAAATGTTGTAATACTAAATATATATTATATACTATGAGCCTTATATAATTAAATATATATCATTTATTACACATATTATATGATCCTTTGATGAAAATAAATATTTATCAACTAATTTTTTCAAAACAGTTGAAAAGGGTCTTTTTATCAACAATGCTTTTGTCGAATCCGTGGATAAAAAATGTTTCGAAACCATCAACCCATCAACTGGAAAAGTGATTACAACTGTATCAGAAGCTTCTTCGAAAGATGTTGATTTGGCAGTCGAAGCAGCCACAAATGCCTTTTATAATGTTTGGAGATTTGTTGATGGGAAAGAACGTGGTAGATTGTTAAACAAACTTGCAGATTTGATAGAACGAGACACGGAAGAATTAGCGGCTTTGGAGACACTTGATAATGGACAAACTCTTTCTACTGCTAAATTTATTGACATTGGACATTCAATTGATTGTTATAGATATTTTGCCGGGTGGGCAGATAAGATTCACGGAAAAGTAATTATTATTTTATCATCTATTCTTTTTTTTTTTGTTTTTTTTATCTATTGTTATTGTGAAATTAATGATAGGTTATCGAGACGGACCCCAGTCAATTTGCTTATACTCGCCACGAACCAATTGGTGTTTGTGCCGCAATAATTCCATGGAATTTCCCTATATTAATGCAATCTTGGAAAATAGCACCTGCTTTAGCATGTGGTAACTTTACATATTTTATTTTTTTAAAATTGGGTTTCCTTTTTATTCATTTAGAAACTACTATGATTTTTTTCTTTATGTTGATATTAATAGGTAATACTGTAATTTTAAAACCATCCGAATTGACACCATTGGGTGCTCTTAAGGTTGCTGCGTTATGCAAAGAAGCAGGATTCCCAGAAGGAGTTGTTAATGTTTTGAACGGCTATGGTTCTACAACTGGTGCAGCAATCGCTAAACATATGAAAATTGATAAACTCTCTTTTACTGGTAATTTTGTAATTTCTGTTCTGTTGTAAACATCTTTTTACAATCATTAAACAATTTTCGCTTGCTAAATTGAACAAATCTGTTTATAATATCCTAAAGGATCAAATGCAACAGGAAGATTTCTATTAAAAGCAGCCAGTGAAAGTAACTTGAAAAATGTAACACTCGAATTAGGTGGAAAATCACCAAACATAATTTTCGCAGATGCAGACCTTGATGAAGCTGTTCAATGGGCTCATATGGGAATATTTTTCAATCACGGACAATGTTGTAGCGCTGGATCTCGTGTTTATGTTCAAGATAATATTTATGATGAATTTTTAACGAAATTTAAAGCTACGACTGAGTCTAATAAAGTTGGGGACCCCTTCGAAGCGGATACTTATCAAGGACCACAGGTTTCTAAGGCACAATTTGATAGGTACAGTATAAGTGCTAGAGACGTGTCATTGCGTGAGATAGTGATGTCATCTTCGCGCAATTAAATCACATGATGGTATTTCTCGCGCGTGAGGCATCTCTAATAAATGCATTAACGACTCAACATTAAAATATAGTATAAATTTAAACATTATTCGATATTATTATCAAATTTGATTAGGATTTCTTTGTTTGAAACCTCAAAATTTATAAAAATTTGAAAAGTACTTAACGCTAACCAAATTCGATAAAATAAAAATTTTTTATCGAATTTGGTTATTGAAATATCTTTAGGTTTTTTTTTGAGCAAAGATATTGGGACAACCACCCAGTTACATCTGATTATATAATTTGGGTGGATGTCGAGGTATACTTAGTTTTAAAAAAATTATTGTATTATGTGGGATATTAATAACAAAATTGAGTTTTATTAGTATTACAATATTTTTCTGATCACTAGAATTATAGTTGGAGGAAGGTTTTTTGTTCCGAGTATTCTTGCTTAGGTATTAAAGGTTATTATTTTTTTTCATTGAATTTGTAATAGAATTATGAATTATATTGAATGTGGAAAGAAAGAAGGGGCTACATTACTTATGGGCGGTGAGAGGCATGGTAACGAAGGATACTTTATTAAACCAACCGTTTTTACAAACACTGTGAGTACCAAAATTATAATCATTATTAACGTCACATAATTATATTTCGATTTTAAAATTAATCATTATTAACGTTACATAATTATATTTCGATTTTAAAATTAATCATATTAACAATACAAAATTCAGAATGAAAATATGACCATAATGCAAGATGAAATTTTCGGCCCGGTAGTAGCAATTTCCAAGTTTTCGACCGTGGAAGAAGTGATTGAAAAAGCACATTTAACAAAATACGGATTGGCGGCAGCTGTCTTTACCAAGGATATCACTAAAGCTATTAAATTATCCAATGAATTAAGAGCTGGAACCGTTTGGGGTATGTTGGTTTTAGTATTTTAACAAATAAAAAATAATTTTTTAATAGCGATAGTTTACTATAATGACCAAATATTTTTTCAAAAAATTATTAGTTAATTGTTATAATCTTGTTAATTCGAGATTGTGAGTATGGATGAAATAGTCGTCTTGTATATAACCATGGCCGTTACTAACGTTGCTAATATATTATTTCTTATTCATTATTTTCTGTTTCGTAATAGACCTTTTGGAGGATATAAAGAATCTGGTATGGGACGGGATCTTTCAAAATATGCTTTAGATCAGTATACTCAAGTCAAGACTGTTCAAATTAATTTGGGGTTAAAATTAAAGGGAGGCATTGAGTAATTTACTTAAGGCACCGAGCATTGATTACTCGAACAGTTTTTTAACAGTTTTAAGATTGTTTGTAATATCCACATATTATCCACAGTGTATTTTAGTAAATTCATATTTAATAAATTTTAAATACGAATCGTGAGGAAAAAAGTTTAAGATCGTTTAAAAGCTCTTGGAAAATAATTAAGTTCATAAACAGTATCTCTTTAACTTGAATTAGAATTCTAATGTTGAAATATATCTTTATTTTTAATAGGTAATTTATGGTTGTTTTCTTTTAGATCAGACAATATGTAACGGTAATACAATTCACCCTCTCGGTCTCTCGTTATAGTGGAGTGATTCTCTAGAACTATTTAAAATTTTCATCAAATTGTTGTATAATGCTATTGCAGATATTCACTATGGTGGACGAGAGTGAACTGTATATCGTGGTAGAAGTTACCTGCTTGGTGTTGCTACGTACGTACGTACGTACCTTTGGCGTCCTAAAGTTACACCCGACTAAAGCTAAGCGTAAACCCCTAAAATTAGATCTTCTTGCATGCATTGAGATATAGTAATTTTAAACGCGAGATGTACATACGTACTGTACGTACGTATGTATGTACATATCTTAATTTTTAATATATGTTCAAAAACTAACGCTAAAAATGTAAAATAACGATAATATCAACATTAATAGTGTAAATATCGTAGATCGAATGAATCTTAATTCCCAAAAATTTTCTCATTATAATATTTAAATACTATAAAAAAAAAAGATTGTGTTAAAACTTTAAAAAAAAAGATGCATAGTATATAAATAACTATATAAATAAATATATCAGTATTTAACAAATATTAAAATCGTGATATTTTAGAGAATTAGATTATAGGTGCAGAAATATTTACGTCACTATATAGGTTGTATTTCATTGTGAAGACGTGTTCGACATATCTTTACAAGGAATATAACTCAGTGATGAAAATAAGCTAGACAAGTGTGAATATTGGAAAAATTTAGACTTAGCATAGCCGATAGATTTAGGCTGACTACAATGTAATAAATTTAAAAATATTATTTCCATACTTATTTTCATACAGATGAACATTATTACGTAAATATACATAGCGATAGATATTTTTAAAATTTGGCAAATTAAAAATATGTACGTATATACATTTATATATATATATTTATAAATTACTCTTGATATTCTTGATATAGTGAATTCATTTAGACTATTAATAAAGTTCTAAAAAGTTTATTATTTCAAGAATTTATGAAACGATAATGAATTCGCCATAACAAGATAATTTGTTTAATATAGATTGAATTTAAGCTTCTCAAAAGTTCAGATAGGAACTACGAATTGGATAAATCCGGAACATAAAAATTTAAGATGAAACTTTACTATTAATAATTAGTGAATTCGCCATAACAAGAGAATTTTATTTAATATAGATTGCTTCTCAAAATTTCAAATAGGAACCACGAATTGGATAAATCCGGAATATCGAAATTTTAAGATGAAACTTTGCTATTAATAATTAGTGAATTCGCCAATAACAAGAGAATTTGTTTAATATAGATTGAATTTGAGCTTCGCAAGAGTTCAAATAGAACCTACGAATTAGATAAATCCGAAATATCAATATTTTAAGATGAAACTTTACTATTAATAATTAGTGAATTCGCCATAACAAGAGAATTTTATTTAATATAGATTGAATTCGAGCTTCTCAAGAGTTCAAATAGGAACTACGAATTAGAATATCAAAATTTTAAGATACTATTAATAATATTTGGAAATGAATATATACATAAATATGTAATATGAATTCATTTCGAAATTTTACTAACTGCGTTTACGTAATATCTATTAAAAAAAAAAAAAAAATCATAAACAAAACCAAAATTGAAATTAATTTGTACTAGAAACTCACTTATTGATGCTTTAGTCGCACAAACAGAGACCAATTACGAACATGGAATTTAAATTTTTTTTTTCACAAAATAAATTTATATTACATTGTAATAATAAAAATTTATACGTAAAAATAAATTTGAATTAGTATTAATAAATGCCATTATCTTGGTAGAATCTTGGAAGAACTTTCATACTGTATGTTCAAATCGCTCAGCCCAAGAAAATCTTCTAGACCGTAATAATAATTTAAAGTTTCAAATTTAAACACTTTTGCGCGTGAATAACCAAGTTGACATTACGATCGTTCGTAACTTTCCTTTTTCATTAAAACTCTCCATTCCGAAGATGGTCATTGAAATAATTCTTCATTTTTGAGGCGGTCATTCAAATTCCTCTTGCAAGTTGGTCATTCAAATTCTTCATTTTTAGATATGGACGAATTAGTAGATCGTGTGTGCATCGTATCACAATCAATCGTATTTAACATCCAAGAATGGTAATAACGATGGCTGAAAAGTTAATCCTTCAAAATAAGTAATTTTATTGTGAACTGGCAATTTCATTTAAAATATATATTCTATAATATATATATATATTATTAATAATTAATAAAGTAATTCTATGATATTTATCTGATATTTGCCGTCAAAATTGGAATTAAATTGTCTATGTAAATTAGCAAATAATTCAGATGATCAAGTCTTATTTCACAAGAAATAATCTAAAGAAAATTGTGCTCATCATAGAACCTATGAATAATAGTCATGATTGATTAACAAAATGCATGCGGTTTCACAGATTATCGATTTCGATTTTTTGACCGAACAAAAGGTGTCAAACGGTCAAATGGTGCCACCATTTATACTTAATTGAGCAATGAAGTACTTATAAGGAAAAATGTTGGGTTCATCATTTAATGTTTGCATAAACCATAATTTTGTACTTTTTTCAAAACCGTAAAACAATATCATGTTGGATAAAAATTATAAAATTTGGTATCAATCTTTCCATACACGTGGTTAGGTGACCATGGCTATTCGTTTCGTACTACTGTTAACAATGTAGTGATACCAATCGAACGAATCAGTTTAGCAGGGGGTGAAAACTTAAATGTTGCACTGCGTTTTGATCGAAATTATCACTTATAATACTGTAATAGTTTTTTAAAAGGTCGAAAATCATCGTTCGGGCAATGATCGAAAGAATTCGGTAAAATCGTGTGACATTTAATTATTCTAAAAGATCCGTACTACTTTTATTATGAAACAAGTAAAATTATATAAACATATCAATTTAGGGAATGGCGTTTCCCCCGAGTGAACTTTTTTTTCACTTGTCTTTATTCATTTTTGAATTTTGACTAAAGAATAATTTACGTTTAATTTATCTAAAAACAAAAAAAAAAAATTATATATATATATATTGAAAAGTTGCAACGTTAGAAACTCTAAATTTTCGTTGCAAAAAAAAAAAAAAAATACCTACACATTGTATTCTGGTTCTCGAGTACGACAAGTGTTAAAAAAAGTTGTTATATAATTATATATTTTTTTTAAACAAACAAATTGTGAATTATCATATATTAAATCATTCATTACTATTGATGAATTTTACCCATTTTCATTTTAATTTAATTATTTAATAATTCAATTATTTAATAATAGATTTATTGAATTCACTCTTTAAAAAACTTTACGACAGTAATCAATAATTTAAACAATGTCCAATAGTAGAGTTGACTCTGGTGCATTTTGCGAAATATGTATAAAGTGTAAAGAGAGGTTACCGGGTAATCAATGGTGTCAACAATGTGAGAGTACTTACTTTAAAGGTGCTTTTAAATCATGGACTAGTGGTAATCATGAGTTGGATAAATTTATAAGAAAAACGCAATTGAAGGCTATCGATCGCGCTGATTACTTGGAATGGATCCCTTATGAAAGGATTGAAGATATTAAATTTATCGCGTACGGTGCTTACGGTAGCGTTTCTTCTGGTACTTGGTTGGATGGTCCAAGATGGAATTGGAATGATGTTTCGAAATGTTGGGAAAGAACTGGTCCAAAAGAAGTTGCTCTTAAAACAATTAATAATTCTCATAATGTTTCTTCTAATTTCTTTAACGAGGTTAGTATATATTATTATTATTATTGGCTTAAATCATTTCTTCAATTTGTTCCAAGTATTCATATTTCATTTATAAAAATTAGTTGAAGCCATTTCTCAATTGTTCAATTGAAGGCAATCGAATTGTCCATTGCTATGGCATTTCTCGTGATCCTCAAACCAAAAACTATATCGCTGTTATCGAATATGCAAATAATGGCTCGTTGATTAATTATGTTTCTAAAAACTTTAAAACTCTCACTTGGGATAAAAAATTATCTATTCTAAGTGATATTATTCAAGGACTTAAAAATATTCATGAAGAAAACGTCCTCCACAAAGACTTACATGCCGGTAACATTTTGGTCCACTCGGGAGATAGAAATGATAGGGATTATACCGCTATCAGTGATCTTGGATTATGTCATTTTGTATCTAAAGGATTCAAACTTCAAAGTCCTAATGTTGTATACGGCGTGATTCCTTATATCGCTCCTGAAGTATTACAAGGAAGACCATACACGAAAGCTTCCGATATTTATAGTACTGGTGTTTTAATGTGGGTTATCTCTTCGGGTAAACAACCATTTGCGAATCGTGGTCATGATTTTCAACTTCAAATAGACATTTGTAATGGTATTCGACCAGATATCACTCCAGACACTCCTCAATTTTATCAAGAGTTAATGGAAAGTTGTTGGAATCAAGATCCAAAACAACGTCCAACTATTCAAACCATACAATTGGATCTTAAAGACTTTATCAAAGGTTCCGGAGGTGCTCGTAAACAGATTGAAGAAGCCGAAAAAATACGATTGGAATTACAATCGGAACAGTTTATCATAACAAGCCCTCCGGATACACATAAAGCCTATTATACCACCAGAGAAATAAAGGTTATACATGTATCTCCTACAAA